GGCGGGCCGGCCCGGAGCCCCCTTACCCGCTGCCCGCGTACTGCCAGTGCTCCCCCATGGCCGCGCCGCCGCTCCGCCTTCTACTTTCGTTTCCTCCCGAAGCGAAACTTACAGAGCTCAAAGGCCGCTGCCTGCCGAGGATCCGACTCTGCTGATGCCCCAGCCCCGGCGACGGCCGGACGCAGAGCCCCGCGCGGCGGCAGCGCCGGCTTTGTACCCCGCATCGCTGGGGCGAGAGGAGGCAGCTCCCGCCCTCTCCGCCATCGCCCTGCGCTCCTGGGGGCACCTCGCACACCCCTCCTTCCCCATCTCCCCGCTCCCCTCCAGGGTTGTACCATCGTGACCGTGTTTGTACCAGCATTTCAACCTTGGTACCATGTACCAGGAATAGTAAAGGTGTTAGAAATGTAGGCTGGCAAGGCTCTTTGAGTAGATGTGATCTCTTTTATTAGACCCACTAATCAAATAATAGTTGGTCTAATAAAAGAGATCACATCTACTCAAAGAACCTTGCCTGGCTATGTCCTTTGATCAACACGGCTACAATCAACAACCCAGCAAAATGTAGGCTAATTTTTGAGGGATGTATTTGGTAGGTGCATTGGTCCAAGACAAAAAGAAATGCCAAATGCCAGAACTCTTGGTACAGAGATGATGCCTTTTCTTAGACCCACTAAGAAATCGCCAAAAAAACCCAACCAACCTATCTTTCTTGGCAAGCTTTCAGGCACACACACCCTTCTTCAGGCTGAGGACAAATCCAAGATGGTAAAAATCCTCTTAGGTAGAAAATAAACTTCATTTTATTTTCAGGCAGCTAATAGATACAGCATATGTAAAACCGAAGTCACTCTCTGGGTGTCTTAACTGACTTCTAGAGGAGAGGGTATTTATTTTGGAAAATTTTTCATATTCCAGGTCAAATTAGCCAAATCAGTTCCGAATCCTTTTGAGGGAGCTAAACTCAATTGTCCAAACAGCATATGTGGTGCACAAGTGTCAAGTATCCTCCACCCCACACTTTTCAGCCTGGGGCTTCAGATACTCCCAAATCCACTGATGGGCATCCTGCGTGCAAGCCCAAGACTGGAAGGTTGGGGTTTGGATGCCTCTGAGCATAGGTGATGCGAAGAAGGGGCACGGGGTGGCATGTGCCCCCCTGAGACTGGCCGCTGCCAAAGCTGCTGGCAGTAGCTGTGGGTGGTCCCGCTCTCTTCCTGCTGCTTGCGAACCCCCCTGCAGCCAACTCTGTGGCAGCTGCCTGCTGGCGGTCCCCACTCACTGCCGCCAGACCCGTCATCGCCACCTGCAGGCAGTCGCCGTGCCCCCCCCAGTTTCTGATAGACAGCCTCCCAAGAAGGGCCTAATGACATTGTCCAATTCACTGGGAAGACCTTGGTTAAACTTAAGGAACGTGAATAGGTAGGTTGTGCATAAATATGTCCTCCACTTTCTACAGCAGTAGCATTACAACAGCACTCTCTAACAGGGGCTTGGGAGACATTCCCATTGTTCCAAGTTACCGGGGTCACTGAAGCAACACATAGACACCCAATGACATTGTTCACTACTACAGTGGTTTGGTTAAAGATTCCACCTAACACACAATCGCCCACACTATCCTGATGTAGACAACAAGGGTCCATTAGGAAATTTTCATGATAGCACATCCATTCATGACGGCCCCATTTTTCGCACCCTCTGGGGTCAAGGAGCTCTCCTGCCTGAGTCACCCATTCAGCAGGGGACCTGGAGGCCCAAACCCTCCCTGCCAACACTATCGGAATTGGGACATAGTCATAGAGGGGCCAGGTTCTGGTCTCTACTCCCACTGATCTTACATGAATATATCCTGTCAAGGGCTTGTTAATCCCAGAGGAGATGACCTTCGCAAAGAGGGGTTTACACTCGGGACACCATTCTGCATAGGAATTGGATGTGACTGCTGGATCCCCTGACTTGATCCAAAGTGCCTGTCTTTCATATTGGTGTAATACGAAGGTTTGCATAGTTACACAAGATATGGCGGAACCTGTTTCATTGGCTAAGTCTTGCATCCCTTCTAACACTGAATGCATAATGGCATGTAGCTGCTTGAGTGATTGCACTGCCACTATTATAGTTTTAACATGATTCTCCTGATATTCCACATTAGCCACAATTTGACCCTCTAATGCTTGGCGGGTGAGTTATCTCATCCTAGCAAACTTATTTCTCACTACCTCTATATCCATTTGGTTAAGCGCCGCTCTGGCACTTCCCACTGAACCCAGGACGGTTGCTGCATCTCTACGAAATTTCCTATGAATCCGGGATTTCCTAGCCAGGCCAATAGAATGGGCTCTGCCCATTTGCTGCACCATGGATGTGTCCGGGTGACATTATTTCCCATTGCAAGACTACAAATCTTTCCAAGAACAGTGAGGAGAATACAACAAAGTTTTCTGGGACCCTAGCTCCCAAAACTAGGAATCTTTTCTGGGTAGGTGGGACCCACCCAAATCCAGAAAGAGATCTTCCCTCCATTTCGCAACCTTGTATTTGTCCTGAGTTAAGATGAGGAAATTCTGCCTGTCCACACAAGGCTTCCCATACCTCTGCAGGGATGGGATGCCTTCCTGGCTCACAATCTAGCAATCCCACAATATTAGAGAATACAAGCACAAAGTCTATCCATTGCGCACGGCATGATTGTAAGTGCCTTCCGCACCGAGAATTTGGTACTCCTCAATCTCAGTGATGTAATCGTCATCGTTGGCCAAGAGAGTCAAATTGGTACCCGGGGCTACAGTCACCTTGTAGTGGAATGTAACATTCTCCTTTGGAGCCGATACATACACTCTGCGGTGGGTGGCACCCCACAGCTGTGCTCCCTTCGATCTAGTTGTGTTGATCCATACGCACCAATGCGCTCCATACGGACTGCTGGTAGTATCCGCCAGCTGCCAGCTTTGGAGGTCAGTGGAATTCCAAGCGTGTAACAGAAACACTTCAGATACTTACCCTTGGTGAGCCATAGCGGGGCAACAAGTGTTGGGCCACATAGCCTTAAGAAGCAGCACACAGGAGGTTGGTTTTCACCAGCCAGGATAGTAATGTGCGCCCCAAGTCCAATTTAGCCCCATCAGCAGCAGCACCCAGGCTGTCATGGTGTTTCCTGGAAAACAGCTGTTTGGTTAGCAGGGACCCAATATTTACTTGTGGGGGGTCCCTACCAACACTGTGTTGCCCTGCCCCCAAGCCAAGACCAAACCCTCTTGCTCTCTTCTCTGACCTGGTTGGGAAGTAAATTTTATTTTCGCTCCTAAAGCGGGTTGGAGGGATCGATTCTTATCCCCTTTTTCCAGACCCAGCTCCACCTCCTCCTTCCACCCACCAGAAACATGGGGGTCAGCCCATCATCTGGGCGAAAGGGCTAGTTCCCCACTCTACTCCTCACATTCACAAGGCCCTTAATACCCAAGGAATTAGCCGGACCCATCCCTTTTCAAAAACCTCTTGCACTATTTCCAGTTTCCTCTTTAACTCCTGGTTCAAATGCTCAACCTTTCCCTGGCCTTGTGGATGATAAGGAATGCCAACCAATGTTCTACCCTTGAGTTCTCGTACCATCGCCCCACTACCATGTTTTTAAAATGGTACCCATTATCAGTCTTTAAATGGCGTGGTTTCCCAAAACAGGCCTCTATTTCCTTCAAGGCTCGAACCACCGTTTCCCCTGTGGCCTCCATAGTAGGCCAGATTTCTGGCCAGCCTGTGGCTACATCCACAGCTACTAATATATATCTTTTCCCTTCACTTACCTTTAAGAGACCCACAAAATCCATTTGCCACTCCTCTCCCAGGTCTAGGACTCGAACATCTATCTGCCCCCTCCCAGGGTATGGGGATTGTCGGTGAGCGCTGCAAGCCGGACATTCCTCCAGGGTCTGTCGCACATCCGCCTCCGTAGCCCTCCTGCCAAAGCCTCCTCCACATCCCTTTTCCCCCTTCATGGGCAAATGCATGGGCTGTCTGTGCTGTCTCCAAAGAGTTGATGCGGGAAGGGCGTGTCAGCGATTCCACCTTGGTGTTTGCAATCACTTCTGGAGAACCATCCCCTTGATGTCCAGCCACATGTTGGATGGCCACCCTAATTTGGCCACTCATCTCCCAAATATGTTGCCAGATTTCTATTCCCCATACAGGTCTGCCTTTCAAGTGCCATTCAGCTTTTTTCCAATAAGGGATCCATTCAGTGGCCCCCCTTAGCACACACCCAACTATCCATATACACTCTTTTTTCCGTCCAACCCTTATCAATCCCATAAGCAATTGCTTCTTCTACAGCCTTCAGTTCTGTTAATTGGGTGCTCCCTTGTATTTCACCCCTCCCATATTCTCCCAAGAAGGGGCAGTACAAAGCCCATACTGCCATTACACCATCCGCCACCCCATCAGTAAATAGAGCTTGAGGATCCGCAGGGTGAAAACTTTCTGTGGAGGTTATTGGGCTTATAGTCTCCCCCTTTGCAGGTGTCTCTAACCAAGGGAGTACCGGATTTTTCAACATTCCCCCTGCCTCCCAGTGTGGGTACCCGGCTAGCTGTAGGCTCCACTTTAAACACCGGGTTTGGTGGAGGGACTCCGCGGGCGGGCCTTTCCTTAAGGCGGTCAATATCCTGGGCTGTGCTTGAATCTTTAGGGGGGCATCTCCCACCAACCTCACCCCCTTCTCTAGTCCAAAAACCACTGCTAACATTTCCTTTTGAAGTGGCTCATAGTGGGCTTCTGTATTAGATAGTGCCTGACTCCAAGCTCCCAATAATTCCCAATTCTCCACCTTTGTCGACTCCACTGATATAACACCGCACTAAGGTTGTCCCCCTGGACCCCTGCCTTCACATATTTGGGCGTGCTAGGGTCTGGAGGGAGTAGGGGCGGGCTCTCTAATATAGCCCGCAGCATTTCTTGGTGAACCCCTTCTTCCTCTTCTCCCCGTGCCCATGGGTCACCCTTGACCTTTAGCGCCCGATAGAGGGGGTGTGCCAGGCTCGCAAAGTCAGATACCATCAATCCCAATTGGGACTGCAGTTCTTTCCAAGTGTGGGGTGGGGGAAGTTGGGCTAATGCTTCTTTAGTCTGTTCTAGGATTCCCAAGCCTCGGGCATCCAATTTCATACCCAAGTATCTTACTGAGCACTGCACCCATTGAAACTTCCTTTTATCTACCCCAAACCATGGCATCCCTAGAGCCTGTAGTACCTGGTGGGAGATATCAGCGCATTCCACAGGAGTGTTTGCCCAAATTAAAATGTCATCCACATAGCTTTGAACACGCAGCAGGGAGTCAAGGGCCTTACACACTTGTTGGTGTGCTAGTATCGGCAAATTGCACCAGCCCTGGGGCAGGCGCAGTGGCCAGTACTGTTTTCCTCTGAACATAAAAGTGAACACATCTCGGTCACTTTCCAGCACTGGAATTGCCCAGAAACAGTTTGAGATGTTGATTAGGTAAAGTGGGAAGCGCCTGCCCTTTGAGCCGCATCCCACATTTCGGGAAGGGTGCTGACAACCGGGCCCAGTGTTTTTATCCTTTTATTTACCTCCCGATAAACTATTACCATTCTCCACTTTCCACTAGCCTTTCTCACGGGGCGTAAAGGGGAGTTCCATTGGGAAATGATGGGTTCTATAAGCCCAGCCCGCAGCAATCCCTGAACCATTTCACTTATGCCCTCTTCGGCCTCAGGCCTCAAAGGGTAGGGACGTACAAAAGGTGGTCATACCGCTTTTTCTAATTCAATTTGTATCTCTTCTTTGGTACATCCCACATCCCACTCTGAACAGACCCATGGTCCATCCCCAGGCAAGGGGGCTTCCTTTTCTAAGGCCATCACGCTCTTGTGGGGCCCATCTATAATGCAGTAACTCAAAACATTGGTTCCCAATATCCACAACGGGAGTCAGGTAACGGTCACTACCATAGAGACCTCCCGCTCCCCTAATTTTCCCATCCTTTGACTGCTCCTCCTCCCACCCCATTAAGCACCACCAGACATCCATTCGGGGGGGGAGGAGGGGGGCTGTTCCCATTGAAATATCATAACCTCTGCCCCTGTATCCATTATAAACCATCCTTCCACCTCACCTCCTTCAATCCTAATTTGGGCAAAAAGGTACCCCCTAGAAGCGAGGAGCAGGGTGTCCCTTGCTTCCCCTCCCTGGGGCTCCCCTAATCTATGTGCAAGTTTTTCAGATAAGAGTAGAGCCCCACTATGGTCTCGGGGTCCTCTTCCAGAGGTGCTGAGGGAACAGCTGCCACCGTGCGGCAATCTTTAGTCATCTCCCCTCTTTTGTCATCTTTCCACAACTGATACAACTCACTTGTTGGCTTTCCATCAATCTGCTCTATGAGGATTCCTCTTT